AAAAAAAGGATTGATGAGAGGTTGTGATGGCTGAAATCTGTAATACAGAACAAGCTCCCCAAAAAATACTGCACTATTACCCAGGAAGCTTGGTAATCTTATTTTATTTACGTTTGCAAATTCACAATATTGAAAAATGTTCCAGAAGCTGTTAAAGGGTATTGAATAATGTTAAAAGCCAGTCTCCTGATGCCTGCTCTCCCCACCTAAAAATAATATTGCCAACCTTTAGTGCATCATTCTAACAACATCTGCAGAGAGAATGAGCCTGAAGGGGACCAGATGGTAGGGAGCAGAGTGGCTCTTCTCCCTCCTTATTTGGGTATGCTGCCCCTATTGTAACAGCCCTGGGTGTCCAGGAGAGTTCATTCTTTCTTCATACCCTGGCAATTTGTGTGGAAGAGGTACACCTTGGAAACTGCATCTATTGGAAAACTGGTTCTCTAGGGCTCTGGGGCCTTCCTAGGAATAATGACAGTAAATAGCATGAAGGCGGAGTTCAGCTTAACCACCTCAGAGTTCTGAAAATGCAACTCTCTCTTCAATGTTCAGGACTGCCTTGGACAGAGACTCTCATTTGCATGGAGCTCACTGACTTCCAAATTCTCCATTTCTTTCTGCTTATAACGTAAGACAAAGACAGATAAGCATGGTTCAGTTGTCCAGGACAAGCATGTGTCATGATTGTCAGCCTCTCCTCTCCTCATTCTTCCAAGATTCTCAGGCAGGAGGGGAAGGAAGCCTCAAGCACATCGGATAATAGCTAGTCTGACCACCAGGTGGTGCTGAAGTACCTCCTTTCATTCAGTTGGTAATAAGCGATAACTAGTTCGGGCTATAGCCCTAAGCCTTGAGAATACTACTTAAAAAACAGGGCTCCTGAGGTGGCTCAGCAGTGAAAGTGCTTGCTCGGTAAACCTGACTTAAGTTCGACCCCAGGAACCCACATAAAGAAGATGGATGCAGTGGCGTGCATCTGTAATCCCAGCACTCGTTTCGCAAAATGGGAGACAGAAACAGGAGACTCTCCAGAAATCTCCTGAGTCAGCTAGCCTGGAGTACATACCGCTGTGTGGTGGGAGCAGCAAGAGACCCTGCCTCAAGGAGGTGGAAGGAGAGCATCAAGTCCCGAAAGTTGTCCTCTGACCTCCACAGGTGTACTGTATGTAATGCACACCTGACTGCATTCGGGGGTAGGGAGGCAGAGGCAGAATTCAAATTCTAGTTGTTAAAGGTGACAGAAGAAGCAAACAGAACTAAGGTAAGTGAACAAAATACAGAATAGTACAGGAAGTCATCGTGTGCAGAAAATTAAGAAAGAACTAACACACAGTGATGGCTCGGCAGTTAAGAGCATTCACAGCTGTGCTGGAAAGTCCACACCCAAACATAAATACCGACAGCCACACAAAATGGCGAGGGAGTGTCCTCGTGGTTTTCCCACCTTTTATACCCTTAGTCCCTCCCCTTCGAGCAGCTAAGGTCAGCCAATTGGCGGGAAGAAATAATGGGCCTGACTCCTTTGCAGAGCGTCCAAAAGAGGTGGGACCATAGCTTGTCATCACAGGGTCAGAGGAACATCTGGGTCACACTGACAGGCATATTCCACCACCTTTCCTAACCCTTTGAGGGGATGTTGAGGAAGCCACTGGAGGTTATGTTGGGTCACTGAGTTTCAGAAATGGGTATCACTCCTTGTTCTGTCCATACTGACTTGTGGGAAAGAAGACTTCTTTTATGAATGCTATCACATTTCTCTTCATTTTGCCAAAGCCCACCAGCAATGGTCCAGAAGACGTCTATTTGCCTATTCACTGTTTTTCAAGTGTATTTCTCATGGCTGTATAGGTGGTGTCTTTACCGAAAATTTTCCAGAATGACATTTTGCTTAATTTCTCACCAAGGAGCTAACGGTGGCCTTGTTGCTCAGTGGGATTTTTGAAGAGCTGGGGATCTAGTCCAGAGTTTCACACAATGTTGCTGTATACTTGAACACTTGAATGGTTTGTGACTATTGAGGTGATAGAGATCAAACCCAGGGCCTTATAGAGCTACTCAAGTGTTCTTCCACCGAGTTACCCTTGTAGTTCCTGTTGAAGGTAGAATTTGACTTGGTCGTGAGGTTATCTCAAATCCAGTGCATCTGCATTATGCTGGGTCATGTATGTTTTTGTTTGGATTCCTCAAACAAGACACATACTCCTACAGGGAACATAAGATAGTCAAAAACGCATTTTATGGAAGAAATAGTAGAGTGAATGAGCCTAGGAAACAGGAGTTGAGAATCTCTTGACAAAGTGCACTCATTCATTCAACGTGCAAGGGCAATTGAGAAAACACCCAACACTTTGCTAAGTACAAAGGAACAGAGTAAGAGGCTGCCCTGTGTGCACCAGGAAGCTGTTATTCTAGACCAGCAGTTCTCATGTAGGGAATGTGATATTGCACATCATCCCTGCAATTCACCTCATGGCATTTGGTAATGTCCGGAGATGAAGCAGCATCCTGGTGTCTACTGAGTACAGGGCAGGAATGATTCTAAACATCCTACAACCATGGAACAGTCACTGTAACAGAATCATCAGTTGTAAGATTCAGTAACGCTGAAATTGAGAAGCCCTGTGCTAAAGCTGCAGCAGCCAGCCCCAGATGTGTTTGACCAGTCCTGATGCATGTGATGAACCACATGCCTTTTGCCCTTCACTTGGGTGAATGACTTTTGGGAGTTTCCCTGTTGAAGCTGAGGCAGAAGGTGGTACAGGATACCACTCACTATATGCGTGAGCAGCCTGGAAAAAGAGGAGAGCATCATTCCATGGGGCCAACTTTGAACTAATGGGGGCCAAAGCCAGTGACTAAATCAATTCCTTCTTCTGTATCTAACAGACATGCAGTCACTATAGCTTCTTGTAGGATGATGCTATACAGTTACGCAATCAGTCCCACATAGCAAGGGCCAGCTGAGCGACACTTCTTCCTACTGGCTCTCCTTCCACAGTTTCACTGCCTTGTGCCTCGTTCATTCTTGCTCTCTAGAACCATGTTCTCTAAAATGATGCCACATAAGCCTTTCTCTGAGCCTTTGAATTCTGGAGATCCCAGGAAAATACATGACTTTTAAAAGTCTGCAGCAGAGTATGGGGCATAACTAGGTATTTCCAGGATTTTCAATCAATATGAGCATCAGATATTTTTCCCAATAAGGGAACAAAGACTGGGATGGGGAAATGGCTGTGTAGATAAAACCCTACCACAAAGCTTGAAGACTTGAGTTCAAATCTCCAGAACCCGTGTCAAAGCTGAAGGACATGGCAGCTCTCTTGTAATTCCAGCTCATAGGAGGGAGAAACAGAGGATTCCTCGAGCAAAATGAGAAGCTCTGGGCTCAAATGAGAACTCCTATCTCAATAAATAATTGAGTAATCAAGGGAAGACAGTCAAGGTTGACCTCAGAACTATGCACACATATGCACACACATGCACGTACACCCACACATGTGGTGGTGTGTGAACACACACACACGCTTCACACACGTACATGCCCAAAAAACAGAAAGTAAAGACTCAGAGTTACTAAGTGTGTTAGTTATTTCTGTGGTTGTTATGATCAAATACCAGATAAGAAGCAACATAAAGGAGGAAGGGATTCTTCCATCACAGTTTTGGGGAATGCAGTCCACCATGACAGGGAAGGCACGGCAGCAGGAGCTGAGGCAGCTGGTCACGTTGTGTCCACAGCCAGAAGTACAGCAGGCTATGAAGTCTCAAAGCCAGCTCCCAGGGACCCACTGCCTCCAGCAAAGCTTTATATCCTAAATGTTATGAAACCTTCCAAAACAGTGCCACCTGCTGGAGAACAAGTGTTCAAACACAGGAGCCTGAGAGGGACATCGCACATTCAAACTAGGATAGTGAGCCTTTACTATATGCCGGGCTCTTTGCCTTCACAGCTTCATTGCATTACCAAACTATTTTTCAATGCGTGAATACTGAAGTTCAAAGCAGGTATGTGATGTAGTCCCAAATTCTAGAGGTATCAAGTGGTGGCACTGGAATTTGAACCCAGCTTCCTCTCAAGAGCACCCAAAGTTATAACAACACTTGTTGCCTCCAATCTTTTCTCTTTTTGAAGATATAATTCAATTCTATACATGGTTTTCTGAGGCCAGTCATAATTCTCCTTACATAGTGTAGGAAATAAAAAAAATCTCAGAAATACAGAGACCATTTAATCCAATGGGTTTCATCTGGGGGATAACTGCCCCCAAGGGACATTGACAATATCTGGACATCGTGTTGTCACAACTCAGGATGAAGACCATTTACCTCTAGTAGGTAGGGGCAGAGGATGCCACTGAACATTCTTCAGAACACGGGGCAGCCCCCAACAGCAAAGGATTACTGGTCTTAAATGTAACTTGTGATGGTTAATATTGTCAACAGAATCTAAAATCACCTAAGAGGCAAACCTCTGGGCGTGTCTGTGAAGGAGTTTCTAGATGAGGTTAATTGAGATAGGAAGATATACCCTAACTGTGGATGGGCTGAGGTCTTAGACCAAATAAAAAGGAGAAAGAGCTGAGCACCAGCATTCACAGCTCTGCCCTGACTATGGATGCAATGTGACCAGCGCTCACACGTCTGCCATTGTGCCTTCCCTGCCTTGATGGATTGTGTCCCCTCAAACTCTGAGCCAAAATAAGCCCTCCTTCCCTTAAGTTGCTTATTGTCAATTATTTTTGTCAGAGCAACAAGGAAAGTAAATAATACATTGTTAAACTCTACCTAGTCCAGCACCCTATTTGGAAGATGGATTACCCAAGTTTGTCACAGTGATTATTAGCACAACGGGGCCAGGAATGCAGGGGTTTGGACTTCCTTCCCGCTTTAGGGTAAACTTTTCTGGTGTAATCCAGTGTTTACTTGATCATCTGGCTTGTGATCAAGGACATTCGTTTCTGTGAGCCTTGCCATGCCGGTTTGGTTTGTCTGATCTCTTAGTTCCCTATTTCACCTCTTTGGTGAGAGCTCAGTCCCCCCAACGCTGCGCTCTGACAACAAAGCCTGGGCTGTGTTTCCAGAGGCTTCTCTTCTTTCCTGAGTCTCTGATTTACCAGCTGTTCATTCCAAAGAGCTGCACTGCTGATCCCTCAGGTAAGACGAAGGATGGCTGGACTCAGGGTGATTCAGAGACACAAGTGTACAGAGATGTGTGACTCAGTGATCATGGGCTTCATTTCAGCGGCCAAGAGACAATGCTCTTGAACAGATCCAGTGACTCAGTTGTACATGACCGGAGTCGTGACACTTAACTTCGCTGGGCCTCTGTTTCCCTTATAAAAATGCCATTGCCACATCTACTTTATACTATTAAGAACTAGTTCATCATGGCTGGTTATTAATAGAAGCTACGTATGTGTGCCATTTGTGCTATTAGTTGAATTTTATGTGTCTGCATGTGTTCATGTTTGTGTGTGCATGCTCGTGGAAGCCTGGGTGGATGCCAATGTCTTCCTCAATCAGTCTCCACCTGATTTTTTCAGACAGAGTCTCTCACTAAACCCCAAGCTCTCTAATTTGGCTAGACTGGCTGACCGGCCAGCCCCAGGGATCCTACTGCAAGTGCTGGGATTACAGGTCATGCCGCCGTATTCCACTTTTTCACATGCATCCTGGGGATCTAACTCGGGTCCTCATGCTTGAACGGCAGGCACTTCGCTGACTGAGTCATCCACCCAGCTCTTATGAGTTGAATTTTGTCCCCTTCCTAAATTCACATGCTGCACTTCTAACCTCTAGTGCCTCAGAATATGACCTTTTGGGATCTTATTAGGAAAGTCAATTATGGTGAGCTCTGATCCAGCGTGATACCAAGCAGGACAATTTTGAAACAGATATGAACATTTACAAGTTCAACAATGTGAACATGGAGGTGGTCATCTATAAATTGATGAGAGAGGCCTGGGACGGACTGGCCCTCACAGTCTCAGGAGGAACCACCCCTGCACATACCTCAGGTATTGCTAAACTTCAGAACCATGAGGCAATATATCATGTTGCTTAAGCCTCTGTGTCTTTTTGTTATGGGAGACTTAAATCAGAATATGAGGGCATAAAGAGCAAAGAATGACAATGTAAACTGTAATTTCAAATTCAGATTTTGCAGTAGGGATCACTGCACATTTGCAAGCCATTTGAGGGATTGTTTTGGTTCACTTTAGTTTTTAATATTTTATTTATTAGTTTATTTTATGTGTATGAGTGTATTGCTGGCATGTGTGCAAGTGCACCCCTATCATGCAGTACCCTTGGAGGTCAGAAAAGGGTGTCAGGTCCCCTGGAAGTTTAGTTTTTATTATTTTTTTACTTAGAAAAATTTCAATGTTATTGATGTATAAGTGAAAATTTTAAATGTTATACATATTCAGGATACACACAATACAATATGCTGTTTTGATGTAATTATACATTATGGAATGATTATCAAAATCACGTTAATTAGCATGCACATCATTTTACATAGCTGCTATGTATGTGTTTTGCAACATTTAAAATCTGTTCTCTTAGCGATCTTCCAGAAAACCGTGCATTACTATTAATCTTATTGCTGTGGTGTTCAAAAGATCTACAGAAATTCCTATCCTGTCAAATTGAGTCTTTGTACCTTTGAACACCTCTCCGTTTACTCCCATCACTGCTGACTCGCCCTAACCCCTAACAACCAACATTCCACGCTACCTCTGTGACTTCTACTTTTTTAGATCCCACATTTAGATATTATGAGTTATACGTATTTTGACTTGTGATCCATGGTACCTGGCTCATAACTCCTTCCCCAAGGTAGGGCACAGAAACTAGAAGTTCTCTTTCCCAAGGGGGTCTTTCCTCCACTTTTCTCTCTTAGATATAGGCATGAAGAAATTCTCTGATCTACCCTTATTCAGTAGTTCATAAGACTCCTATTTTAGAAGAGAACCTGCCCCATCGCTAGTGTACATCCCTTGGCGTACCTGCACAGAGAGTCCATGAACAGTCTGAGCAGGCACTGTTAGATTTTCCTCACTTGGTCTATTAACAGTAGAGCTAACCTTTTCTCTTTTTTAAAAATATTTAATTTCTTATTTTATTTTATGTGTATTAATGTTATGGCTGCATGTAGGTAAGTGTACCCATGTCGTGCGATGCCTGCGGAGCACAGAAGAGGCTTTCAGATCCTCTGGAACTGGAGTTACGGAGAGTTGTTAGCTGCCATGTAGGTGCTGGGATTTGAACCCGGGTGTTCTGCAAGAACAGTCAATGTTCTTAACTGCTGGGCCATCTCTCCAGCCCCAGATCTAACCTTTTCTACAAGGCTGTCCCTGCTTCAAGCATCCCTGTGCAACGAAGTCTCAAAACCCAAAGACAAAGTCTAGCGAGCTATGAGCAGCTGAATTCATGGTGGTTACCAAGTAGATGAGCAGGAACTCATCCGTGTGCCAGGAGTGTGGCACACCTGATTCCATGCAAATGGAAGCCCCTGTTCTCGGGATGCTTCTAAAACTTGCTTCTTGTATCTCTTCATCTGGCTGCTTTTCTGCATCCTTTAAAATATCTCCTAGGGGCTGGAGAGATGGCTCAACAGTTGAGAACAGTGGCTATTCTTGCAGAGGACCCAGGTTCAAATCCCAGCACTCACATTGCAGCTAACAACTGTCCATAACTCCAGTTCCAGGGGATCCGATGGCCTCTTCTGTCCTCCACGGGCATTGAACAACAACGGGTGCACTTACCTACATGCAGGCAATACACTCATACACATAAAATTAAAAAATAAAATATCTTCTATAATGAACCTGTAAACCTTAGCAGTTCTGCAAGTTATACAAGTGGCTCCAAGTACTTTAGAAAGTATATCATTTCTAAAGCAGGGATCAGATCACAGAAACCCCAACTTATAGCAAGCCAGAATTTCTAGAGACCCAGATTTGTAACTCATATCTCAAGTAAAAGTGACCTCGTGGGACTGAGACTTCAGGCTGTATGATCATCTACTGGGAACTGAATCAATTGAGAGGACATCCATCTGTTGTCTGGGAAAGAATTTCTTGCTGCCTTACTGTTGAGGAGAAATTCCCCAACCTCTTGGTCACAGATGTGAACTATACTGTGAATGTGTAGAAGAGATAGAGTTTGGTTTTCCACTATGTCCTTCATATGCATTAAGCAACATCATGTAGTATTTGTCTTCTGATGCCTAAATAATGTGATAAACATGGGAGCACAGTTATCCATTTGACACACTGATCTTACTTCTTTGGGGTATATTTGCAAAAGTTGGATTATTGAATCACGTGATAACTCTAGTTTTTAATTTTTGAGGAACCTTCATGAGTATTCCATATAGCTATATCAATTTAATTTATATTTGCACCAACAGTGTGTAAGACTTTTCATTTCTCCACATCATCACCCCAAACATTACCTTTTGTCCTTGTGCTAAACAGCCACCCTAATGGGGTGAGGTTACAGCTTGTCATAGGATCACTACTGAAGAGCTGAAGAGCATGCTTTTCCACATACCTGTCAGACACTCATATATATTCTTATGCGAAATATTTTTTCAGGCCCTCTGTCTATTTTTAATTTTTTTCGCTTTGCCTGTTTTCTTATCGCCTCATGTTTTAATTTTATTTTTTAACTAACAAATTAAAATTTCAAATATTTATCGTGTACAAAATGTTGCCTTGAAATATGTATATACAGTGTAATTGTGAAATGGAGTAAATTAATATAATTACCTCACATACACATCGTTTTGTTGTAAGGACATACCTGTGATTTCAGGAATACTACATACTGTTATTAACTATAGTTACCATGTTAACTGCAGACTTTTTAATCATCCTTCTCTTGCCTAACTAAAATTTTGAATTCTTTAACCAAGGTTTCCCTAACCCAATCCACCTCCGCTCCCAGCCCTGTTTCTATAAATTGAGGGTTTTTTAAATTCTACATATAAATAATATCATAAACTACTTGTCCTTCTGTGCCAGACTTTTTTCACTTAATGCAATGTCATCAGGGTTCACTCACGGTGTCACAAACAGGCTCTCATCTTTTGAACTGGCAGCATCTATTCCATTGTGCATGTATACACCATAGTCTCTTCCTTTCACCAAATTGTTCATCTGTTGGTCAGTTAGGTTAATGCCATCACTTTGCTGCCATGATTAGAGCTGGACTGACTATGAGAGTGCAGGTATCATTTTGAGATGCTGACTTTGTTTCCTTTGGATATTTACCTAGTAATGCGCTCGCTGTATCATATTGTAGCTACCTTTAATTTTTTTTTAGGAACCTTCCATGGTGTTTTCCGTAGCAGATAACTAGTTAACACGTGTACAGATAGCATATAAACATTCCTTTTTCTCTTCATCGTTGCTAAAATCTCTTATTGTCGCTTATTTTTTTCAAATAGCATTTCTAATTGGTGTGAGATAGTACCTTGTAGTTTTAATTCATATTTATCTAGTGAATAGTGATACTAAACAGACACACATGGTGCACATATATACATGCAAGCCAAACACTCATACTCATCTTTGTTTTTGAGACAAGGTCTCCCTGTAGCTCCAGCTAACCTGGAACTCTCTATATAGACAAGGATGGCCTCGATCTCATAGAGCTCAGTTGGCCTCTGCCTCCTGAGTGTTAGGTTTATAGGTATACACCACTATACTCAGCTAAAAATCTTTTTAAAAAGACTTTGATCCATTTTGAGCTGAGTAAGATATGGGATATATTTACTCTCTACTTGTGGATATCCAAATGTACCCAACACCTTTCCTTGAATGTGCCATTAAGGCTGCAATAAACTGACTGAAAATGTGGATTTATTTCTAAGTCTCTGTTCTATTTCACTTATGTATGTATCTGTTTTCAAGCCAGGATCCAATTGCAGCATATTTTGAAGTCAAGTAGTATGACACCTCCAGCTTGGCTCTTTCTGTTAAAACTTGTTTTAACTAGTCAAGATCATATGAGTTTTAGAATTATTTTTGCTATTTTATTTAAAGTATAGTTGGACTACAGTGTTGCTAATCTATCTGTAGGAGGCTCCAGAGCACATTGATTTTTGGAATGCACAGGCATTCATCCGCTTTAGGTGGAAAATT